TTTAGGGTTTAGGACTTGTGCAAGAGCTGATCGTTCTGCTGCTGTCTCCAGCTGTGTTGCTGCAGCACGGAAAGACAGCATCCTGCGGTGCAGCTGCTGCGCCTTCTCCTCTAAAGCCTTTCTGCACGCAAACCCTAAACCCTAAACCCTAAACCCTAAACCCTAAACACTTCAGGAGCTCTGGCGCAACGTGCGGTGCAGCAAGTGCAGAAACAACAACGGCTGTAGCAGCAGCACCACCAGCACCACCAGCCGCAGCAGCAGCACCACCACCAGCCGCAGCAGCAGCAGCAGCAGCAGCAGCAGCAGCAGCAGGAGCAGCAGCAGGTGTACCTTGCAGCAGCAACAAGGGGAGAGAGTGTTTGTATAAGTGTATCCTTTTGCTGATGGAGACAGCTGAGACAGCTGAGCTCTGCTGTCTCCTTTTCTACAAGAGTGGTGATGAGGTTACTGGGTAGATCGAACCAGTGGTCCACTGGTGTATCTCCTTGCTGCTGCTGCTGCTGCTGCTGCTGCTGCTGTTGCTGCTGTTCCTGCTGCTGCTGCTGCTGCTGTTCTTGCTGCTGCAGCTGCTGCTGCTCCCGCTGCATCTCCAGCTGCTGCTGGTGATGCTCCGGCAGCAAACCCTCGTAAGCATCTGTTTTGTCTTTCGGAGACAAAAGAAAGAAGTTTAGGTATTTTAATTGTGGCAGTAAAGAGATAATACGTTTGTTTGTATATAAAGAAGCAGAGATAGGGTTGTTTTTTATTGAGAGAGAAGAAAGAAAAGGGAGAGAAAGAAGAGGAGACAGCTCNAAGCAGAGATAGGGTTGTTTTTTATTGAGAGAGAAGAAAGAAAAGGGAGAGAAAGAAGAGGAGACAGCTCACTAAAACTCTCTATTTTGTTGCTACAAAGAGATAAAATTTTTATGCTTCTGCACCTGCCTATACACCCCAATGTTTTTATTTTATTGTGACTCAGAGATAATAAATATAAACTAGGTAAACTATCTAAACCCTCTATTCTCTCTATTTTATTATATGATAGTATTAGCTTTTTTAGTTTATATAAATATACACAACAGCTCCCTATACACCGCAACAGGTTGCTCGTTGCACGCAGCTCCTCTAATCCTATACACACACACAAACCCTAAACCCTAAACCCTAAACCCTAAACCACAAACCCTAAACCCTAAACCACAAACCACAAACCCTAAACCACAAACCCTAAACAGTAATTCCTAAACCCTAAACCATAAACAATAAACCCTAAACAATAAACACTTATCCCTAAACCCTAAACCACAAAACCTAAACCCTAAACCACAAACCCTAAACAATAAACCCTAAACCCTAAACCACAAACCCTAAACCCTAAACCATAAATAGAAAAAAAAGAATAAACAGTAAAAGATTGGCGATGAACGAAAAACACAAACCCTAAACCCTAAACCCTAAACCCTAAATAATAAATAATAAACAACTGATAGTACACAATAAACAACAAACCATAAACCCTAAACCCTCAACAATAAACAATAGGCAATAAACAACAAACCCTAAACCCTAAACCCTAAAACATAAACCCTAAACACTCTAAACCCTAAACCCTAAAACCCTAAAACACTAATACGCTAAACCCTAAGACCATCTGGTCTCTTGGCATGGCTCTCCTGCTGCTGCTGTGCTGCTGCTGCTGCTGCTGTGCTGCTGCTGCTGCTGCTGCTGCTGCTGCAGTCGCTGCCTGTTTGTTTGTGGCTGTGTTTCCTTTTGTTGTTGCAGTTGTCTCTCCTTTTTGTTTTATTTTTTATTTTTGTTTATTTATTTATTTATTTATTTTTATTTTGTTTTATTTTATTTTGTTTTTTATTTTTTGTTTATTTGTTGCTGCTGTTTGTTTTGTCTCTGTCTCTCTTTTTGTTTTTCTTTTTCTCTCTTTCTCTTTCTTTCTTTTTATATTTTTGTTTCTGTTTCTCTTTCTCTGCCTCTATCTATCTCTGTCTCTGTGTATATAAATCCATGTATTTATATTTATTTATTTATTTTATTTATTTATTTATTTTTATTTTTATTATTTTTTTTATTTTTTTTATTTATTTATACCTGTGAATGTCTCCAAGTTATTTAATTTAATTAAATTTTTGTTGCTGAGATCTAATTTTTTGACGCGAGGAAAATCAGCAGGAGTGACAGCAGCAACAGCTGCTGCTGCTTCTGCTGCTGCTGCTGCTTCTGCTGCTGCTGCTGCTGCACCAGGCAACACAACAGGGGGCCGCTTAGGGTGTAGCTCCACCACACCCTCACACAGCATCTGTATACTCACAACCTGCTGCCCTGGTTGCGGTTCCTCTTCTGCTGCTGCTGCTGCTGCTGCTGTTGTTGTTGTTGTTGCTGCGTCGCCGCCAGCAGCAGCAGCAGAGGCAGCAGGAGCTGCTGCTGCACCTGCAGCAGCAGCTC